GCATATTAGCACTGCATAAAGGCAGGATATAAATTTGAGATTACATGATGCAAATTTGCAAGGCTGAGAGATGTAAATATATACCATTATTATGGTTATCAGTGAGCTTTCACCTTTTCAAACCTTACCTTCATGCCTCGTTTAAGGGAGTCATGGGAAATGATCATACTGAAATTATTTTACCAGTTTTGGTTTGAAAAATGCTCCCTTCTAGATCTGTCATCACTTTTCTTTTGGTTTCTGTGAGAAAGTTCACAGTTTCAGCTCGTGAAAGGGCAGCACTACAATGGCAGGGGCAATACAAATTCATCCTGAGTGGCACACTAGCAGAAATGTGTATGCACATTTAAGTGGATGTGGCTTAGTGGGTGGATGAGGAGATAAATGTGCACAGCCATTGTTCATATACTTAGAATATTATATCCAACTTCAGGAAAAAAGACAGGAGGTTTCCTCCTCAACTTCAGATAAATAATCTCATTAGGCTTCTGGAAACGTATGCCAAAGAGCTCACTTTTTTTCTGTGTCATTTAGCTGGGTTTTGACAGTCTCTGAGCAAGTTTTATGGTTTGGTTGGGAATTATTTAAGATCCTCGATCAAAAAAAATCCTCAGGCTTACGAAATTCTCCTTGGCAACACACTGAAAACCCAGTGTCCTCTGATGCCTCTGATTCTTATGTGATCAGGGACACTAATGATAATGACCCTTTGCTGAGTATGCTACTTGTCTAGAGGCCTATGTCAACTACACCACTACATACAGAGTGGACAGGGACAAACTATTTGTTTGCTCTTCAGGCCCCTTGGGCCCTGTCATATGCTATTTGTTCTTGCATTAAGAGGTAGTTTGACTCAGCTGGGCTGACATTTCCTTCAAGTCAGTGTATTCCACTCATGCAGTAGCAGCTAGAAAAGCATTAAGTATGGACTTGAGCCTCAGCAACAATCCTTTTAAGTGGCTTTTTTGATTCATATCCAGGCCTTTCACAATTTTACTGGTCATTCTGAATCCAAAATGACATACTTTTTTTAAAACTAGCTTTGCTATTTGATATTCAGGCAACATAGCCTCCTTATAGTTAGTGTGGCTGCTCATCAATAATAAGCATCAAAACCTGCAACTGAGATGAGCAGGTGACTGATATTGCTGTATGACACCAGAGGCATCAATTGGTTCTACTTTTCTTCTCTGTCTCATGAAGGAGACCTGATATGTGATTAATCTGTCATTCACAGCTTTTCTTCCTTTTGCTTCCCTTTACATTTTACTTTTTATTGTAATAGGATGTCCTTGTGTTCACATCTCAACAGAAGTAGCCATTTTTTCCTGCTGGAGTTTAAGTTTTTTTAAGAAGTATCCATGTTCTTTGCTGATGTAAGACAGGTAAAAATAACCATTACAATGCAGAGTATTTTTCTGGTTAATTTGCATTTGTAGCTACTGTTGCAATTTGAAATATTTGTTTTTTATTGATTAGACTCTTCTAGTATTGCATCAGTGTGATTCTGCTCATGTCATTTGATGTGATGCAGGATTCAGTTAGAACACTGACTTTCTAAATGTGAATCTAGACCATCTGTGATGTACACAAAGAGCATTTTTATGTCAATCATCTATTTATATCAGTAATTTTTTGTAATTTAGAGTCATCAAAAAGATGACATTAAAAACATGCCTCCAATCTATTTATCTGGTTCGCATTTGGTAATACAGCTTTCTACTTACGTGTGAGTAAATCTCAAAAACTCCCATTTTCTGACCAGGTCACACCACTTGTCATGATGTCCCAGGGAATTCCTATGATACAGTTTCTATCCTCTGTTCTATTTCAGGGATAGCAGAAGTCATAATATTTTATCCCATAGCATAATACCTTCTTCCCTGATTTGACCTAGTCACTGTGGGAATCTAAAATCTATGCGGCATTTTCAACATTATCTTAACTGTAGAGATGCTCAGAATGTGATTCAAGTCACAATTCAGATTAAAATTTTTTAAATGAACTTCTCATATATTTGTCCTTTTCATGCTCCAGACTTCTTGTCTTCCATCACCCCTCTAGATCCAGGACCATAGCTGAGGAAAAATTTGCAAAGTAGCCATCTGTTTCAAGGCAGGTGGGACAGGGTCAAAACTGACTTTGAAAAGTAGCTTTTAAAGTAAATTTAGGAAAAAACTTGCAAAGATAAATATCAGCTACAGACATGACAGATTTACCTCTTGGGTACTTCTAGCTGCTATACACTAAAGATTTCCGGGCAGGAAAGCAAGTACCTGTCACTTTAGGTAATTTACGAGGATACAAAATAGCAGATAATACAGTCCACCTTTGTTTATTGGAAAGAAGAAAAGAGTTCGACCATTACAAACAAAGCTTAACAGAGCTCTCTTCTGATTCAATCCATGTTGTCTTATTTAGCACCTTGAACCAAAGTTAAGTCAGTGTAGATAAAAAGTAAAATGAAGAGACAGTTGGGTCTGGGGAGCGGCTGAGGGTGCAAACACAGGGCTGGAGAATAAATTTAGCAGCAGTGAAGAAGAGGAAGAAAACAATGTCTGGATTTGGAAGCCTGGCAAGTTCTCCACTCAATGCTCAACCTGTGTTTAGCAATTCTGATATGCTACTGAGCAGACAGCTCAGGCTCAGGACGACTACTCTCCCTCAGTCCCTCTTCAGCAGGCAATGAAAGCAGGCTCTACTTTGAAAATCTTCCCCCATCATGCAAACTGACACAGGCATGCTTTTCAAAAACCCACAGCCAATCTGTTGATCATTACTTATTTACAAAGGCCTTCGGGCAGAAAGTCCTGTAAAAACCATACTTGATACGGTATACACTAGCTTTTTCTGCTTGTGGAAAAAAGTACCCCTAAGGCTACCTCAAACCATCACTTTCTATTGCACATAAAATGTACCGTGTAACACTAAAGTATTTAATATATATGGTATAATATATCTACAGGAAAGGCATTTGTGTAGAAGTATGTTACCCTGTATTTGGTAATTTGATGTTTTGCTGAAGGCTATGACTTGAAAAAGCCTGCACCTAGTACAGAGGACCTGTCATCTCAGTACCCAAGAGCCAATAGAATAAAGAAGTACCCTTAAGCAGCAAAACTTTGACACAGCTTTGAAGCATATGAAAACAGTATAACTCCCCAGAATTATTATTACTCAAGATCAAAGAAATGAGGCATACTTTACATAGCAAACAGGGACAGTGTGCAGCTCCAAATGTTTCAGCTCTTTCTCTCTTTCTCCCCCTCTCTTTCTTTTTACTTCTACTTCCCCAAAATTAGGGTTTGGGGGAAGGTGAGGGGGGAAATCTCCTACATGTTTAAATTTTAAGCAGTTAAAACTATTAACACCAGATAAGAGGACTGTCCAAAGGTAAGTAAATTGAAAACGATGCTAGCATGACAACTGGCACCATAAAAATGAGAAGTTTGCCAGTATGCTCATTTTATTCTTCCTCATAAACTGTAAACAAGCATGTAAATCAGTGTCATATGGGCAAGGCTGAACTAACAGGAAGTCAGAGAGCTTTTAATGATACATTTAACAGAAATAGATGGTAAATAGGAAAAAAAAAGCCACAGCTGGGTGCATTTTCTTCTGTGAATCAATCTCACTTTTGGTTCTATAGTCTAAACAGAGATGAGGACGACTTGTAGAAGTTACGTCCTTGAATATGCCCTACATTGCAGAAACAATAAACAAATATGGATGTTTCTGTAACTGGCCAAAGAAAATTCCAGTCTAGTGACTTAAATACAAAGAGAAATATCACCTAGCTGTATCCAGAATCATTAAAGGAACAAAATAATTGTCAATAATAAAAGTACTGAAGGATTTTATATATGGAAAGAATTACACATTTGTATCCATTTTTTTTCACTTGAGCAGTCACAGTTACACACACACATAAATCTCAAATTGCATGAATGTGTCTGTTTACATGTATCAATAAGTTTACATTTTTCTGTATATAGACACACACACACACACACACAGTGGAAAATCTCTGCTATAGTATTTATGGATACAATTATGGACTGAGGTTCTAGCCTGACTGCCTAAGATATGCAAAACCAAAGCAGGAACAGCCTCCTTGCAGAAAACTCTATGTCTACAATGTGATCCTATTCTGACTGACTTGAGCAGGTAAAAGGTGAAGCACAGTGAGATAGAATGAAAATGCCATATTCTTTTAATAGATTCCAATTTCTTTTTGCAGTTCTCATTTTAACAAATCTCTTAGAGGTAATTTGTCCTGTGGAAGGAAACTACATAGTTATGCAAAGGAGTACTGTTGTAAAATAATGTACACATAGCAACAGGGGAAAAATATCACTAACAAGATGATGTTTTCATCACCCACTTTTAGAGTATATACTACCTTCTTAAAAATCCCTGTATTTCATAATTAATGTGCTTTTAGCTTGACTAAAACTGCGTTAGTTTTGAACTTTGCTTTGGCAAGTACATATATTATTAGACTTTTTTATCAGTCTAAATCAATTAACTGAAATTTGATTTCAATCGACAGGATAAAAGGAAGGTAATATTCAGGTTCATTTTTGATTGTGATGATACATCTCACATATGGCCTTAAGTACAGAAAACAGTACTCAGAGGGAATCCAACAAAAAGAGAATTGCCTGAGGCAAACTAACCACATGAGTTCCCCTGATTGGTTAGTGCTATCATTAGTGCCACTGCTGTTTAAGAACTACACATGGACAGGACAGGGTGACAGCTAAGACTTTAAAGCCTATGTATTTTTCAAACAGCTTTTCAAACTGTTTTTCATGACAGAATTTTTTTTCAGCTCTATCATTAACTGCTGACAAGCTGACAGAATAAATACTTCAGCCTTTCAGAAACCATCTAACAATCTTTTTTTTCACCCCCCTCCACTTATTTTTGATGTGGGGGGAGGAGAAGTGGAAGGAAGGAAGAAAGCAGATGAAGATATGGGTTTCTTACAGTCTTACCTCATCAGCTTGGGTGAGGAGTTGGGTGAATTTCTCATGCCTCCGTTTCGCTGCTTTTTTTTGGGTGATAGTGTCGACGGCTGCTCATCTTCAACTGGAAATATAAGGAACTTATGAGATTAAGTACTGCTCTAAGTGCAATGTGAAATACAACTGAAGTAGCAAAGAACACACACTCTATGTCCATTCACGCACTGATACTTCACTGCTAACATAGGCCCAACAGTAATAAAAATCAAATACATGTTAGTCGAAGAGATTGGTTTGAAAGAGAAGCAGGGAAGAATATCAGGGTTTTGAACATAGGCGTTCAAATTGGTTTCATACTTCAAAAACAAAGGGGGGGAACCACATTCGGGTTATTCTTAGAGTTATTATCAGTTAATCTGCGCTACAGAAAAATAGAATTAGTGCTCTGCTATATTTCCAGACAGATAAAGTACTATTTGAAATATCAACATAACAGCTGCCAGCCTGCTTTTGCTAATGAACTAGACACCAGTTGGTTCTTGCTCCTCACATGCCAAACAACAGAGTCTTCATGAAGAGATGTAAAATATTCAATGCCTTGATGTTCAATGATTCAGTTCGTCGGGAATGTGAACGCAGCCTGCCATTGTGCACAGATCTCCAGCACAAGTCAGACCTCATCGCTCTACCCTTCTCACAAAAGGGAGTTTTAACAGGAGTGAACAGAATGAGGTTGAATGGAAGTGGGGAGACAATACCTGTATAACAGAGGATGCATGTGTTATGCAATCTTTTAATGAGGATGACGTGCATTTTCAATGACAGATCAATTTCTAGAATTAAAATCATGTACAGTTGCCAGTCATAAACTACTCTTGGATAACTTATGTCACAATATGTATTGCTTACACAAGTGCAGTTTCCTAAGAAGTCATCTATAAGAATTAACCAACATCTTTATTATTTCAAGATTATATAACTGCACTTGAAAATCTGCATGTAAACTTTACATGTGCTATCAAAGGGAATAATCTCATGCCTGCTTTCTCAAATTCACACTAATGTTGATCTATTCTAATAGAGAGAAGGAAAAATATTTTTTTTTCATTCTAGTATTAACTGAAAAATATTCTAGAAGACAATATAACTGATGCCTAGGAAGCTGTTTAAAGCTAAAAGAAAAGACATTAGTAGTAGTAGCAGTAGTACCTGTATTAAAAGAGCTTAGTACACATTAGCAGTGCACAAGCAGAGGCTGAGAAAAAAATACTATTTGCAACAAGCTACATAGGAAAAACAACAAAACCTGGTTATCTGTCACCTGCCCTAGACTTATCTTGGAAAAAATAAAGCTACAGCCTTCTGCTATAACCCTTTTCTGACACAATTTTATTAGAGACTGCATTCTAGCCTCCCATGTCTCTCTGTTGGCCCAAGCCTGTTATGGAACTTCATTTTGCCTTGGTCAAGACCAAAAAATTGGACCCTGAAAAGACAGATGTGCTCTCTTTTTGTATGACCTGGCATCACCAAGCACAAGGGATTCACAACAAAAGAAAGCATTGCAAAGGGAAAACAAAAAAACCCAACCAAACAAAGCTAATCCCAAAATAAATGTCCCAAAGAGTGCTACAAAAATAATATTTAGATCAGAACAAGGACTGTCTAATAATGATTTGTTCGCTAACTTAACTTTCTCCTCTTCTAGGGCAGCATCCCCAAAGACAAAGGCATTTTCTTCTCCTTTGACTTTTCTTTTTTCCCAGATCAGAGTCCTGCAGTGTAAATGCTTGTTGATGATCAGTCAAGTGCCATTCTTTGTTTGGCTGAGAGATAACAAAGCCCACAGAAAATTCTCAAAAATATACAAATTAAAATTTTTATTCTGGGGCAGTTTGTTCATATTAAACTAGAGCACTTCAGTATTTAGCTATGTGTACCATGAAGTGAATATGCACAGAATTAGTTTATTGGTAGTATCTTTGTATTTCTGATTGAAAAAAAGTGTAGTGTTTGTGTGTTTCAGAACATGCTCTGCAAAACACTCTTGGAAATGGCCTAGTCTTTTTGAAACTTCTCTAAAAAAAGTTATTCATATGCTATTCCACACAGACAATAGGTTTCAAGATATACACTGTGCTTTCTTTTTCTGTATCAGATATAAATATTCAGTTCCAATCTGATGAATCCACCACTTAGAAGATCAAAGGAACAAGAATCACGCAAAAATGTTCCTTCTGGAAACCAACAAATTATCTGGTTTGCTCTCTTGGTAGTAAAAATTCTAAATTTTACTTAATTTAATCTGCTACCATGGAGTTACAGAATGTCTGTCAAGAGATGCAATATGCCACCACAAGGGTATTGTCATACTATTTTAACAGTCTAAGGAAGATACATCAAGACCATGTGCAAAATTTTACATTAACATAAGTCAACTGTAGATATTATTGCAAGAAATATTCCTATGAACAAGAGAAAACAGTATTAAAAAAGAGTACTTTTCCAAGTTTTCAGCTAGCTAATAAGACTCCTGTCTGATCCTTTTAAATTCTGAAAGTTGGTACAATAAGAGGCTTTTGCACTTCATAGTCTAACATTTGTGTTCTCCAGTGTTGCCAGGTGATACTAACCTGCCACTCAATTAAAAACAAAGTCTTACTGTAATCATCCAGAATACCCCTTTCTAGAAGTACATTTCTAGCAGTCTGTACTTATTTTTGGTATTGCATCTGCAATAAGTAAGCTCCTTTTTAGGATATGTGCTTGTCATATTTAAACTATGTCACTGTCACCAATTGCCTGGAAAGCCCAAGGTTAATGTGGCTCACTAGTTAACACCTGTTAGCAAAGCCTTCTGAGGAATCTCAATTTGTTGCTAAAGCAATGCCTTGCTCAAGCAACGAAGTCATATATTCTCATTGTAGCAATGAAAGGAGATCTATCTTTATCATATCACATAAAACCAAGATTTTGCTTTTTGTTGAAATCTCTGTGCAGAGTTTACAGGGCTTCTGTATTTTAGAAACACATAAGAATGGGGGAAGGGAATCCACGAATTTGAAAGATGTGAATAGTATATAATGGACACCATTACCTATGGCTTGGTTTCCAAAAATTTTGAAATGATAACTCACAAGTGGTTTCTTAGTAGTAAGTAGGATATAAAAAATATTTAATTATTATTCTTCAAATACTCTTATCATTCTGCATATTTAAAGAAATAGATCTAGTAAAATTTTTAGTAAAGTAATTAAATATAACTTTAGTTTCATGGTTCCTGTGTCTGCATTAATTTAAAAGGGAGTCTTAAATTTGCTTGTTCTTATGAAAGACAACCATATTTGAATAATGGGCTGTGATATATGACAACTCAACTCTGATATTGTATGTTTGCTTTTGTTAATGAGTCCCTATTTTTTACTATTTTTCATGTCTTTATACTACAGGATTTGTATTAAATACAGCCATATTATATTATGCAGACTTTCTTTACCAGCTTTCATGAAAATTGCAAATATGTTCAAGAATTGGGACACAGAATTTCATAGATTCAAGAGCTTGTTTGCACATCCCTAAGTATAACACTTAATGTACTGTTGTATCAACCTTCAGTTCACTTGTTCTAATAACAGTTTTGCAGTTCAGGAAGACTCAGTGCTACAAAAATGTCAGGCAAGTCTAATGAGGCTTCAGATGCTCCAGTTTGTGGTGGAGTTTAATTTAAAGTTACACCGATGTTTTAACATGTTTGCTTACTCTTGAGTAAAGAGTGTTCATTACTTCAATGACATAACCTCCAGACAATATTCCATGAATTGGTTTAAGATGTGCTGGTAATTTTAACAGCCTTAATGTGGAGTTGAACATCTGTAACAACATATTACTTGACTTCTTTCATTTCATTTCTAAAGCAAAATAAAGGGAATGCCTTTCAAAACAGTGGACAAGTTCATAACTTTTTTCGTTGTTATTTTTTTACTGTTTTTAAAATAAAACTGCCCCCTTCACTGCCTCTTCCAGGTCACTAGCAGAACAGTTTACAGACATTTTTTAAAAGCCCCCAAAATACTGAAATTTGAAATAACATCTATGTTATTGAACATCACATCAGCTGGAATACCCAGTAAATTCATTCTGCCTAGGATGTAAATGCTTCAGAGCAAATAAATCCTTTAAAAGGTAAAGCACAAACCACCCAGAAACATTAGTTGACTAGCTATCTCAATTAACTTATTAATCACCACATCTGGAGAAACCCACATCTGTAAGCACTTAAGAGAGCATTAGTAATGTCATAGGCACATGGAAAACAGACTGCAAAACCATGCACAAACCGATCTGTATTGCCTTATGCATCCAACTACTGGGCTACCTACGGAGATCTTGGTTCAACCCAGGCTTTTGGGAGTGGCAGCGGTATTTTACAGGTAAGCTGAGTGCCCTTTGCAATCTACAGTACGTAGATTTTCCTTGTTCGACAGAACTCAGTAAGTTAAGGTGCAGCAGCGAGGGGTTGTTGGGTAGGAAGAGGCTCCCTTTACGGTTATTAACAAGTGGAACAGGTTCCGGGATTCCTTCAGTGGACTTGGCATCAACCAATGCATTAGTAGTTGCATTCTTGAATTGATATGAGCATTTTGGGTAACTTGATCTAGCTGCATTCTTTACTTCTAAATAATAAGAAAAGATTTAAATTAATTTCTTTGTATTAAAAATTATTTCAAACTACAGGCATGAATCAGTTTTGATATTACGTGGAAATACAGATGTTAAAGCCTAAAGCAGCAGTTCCAAAAGCAGAAACAGAGGTTTATACCTGCAGCTTTCTTAAGGTTGTCTTTTTTTTCTATTCTAAAAATGTCTTTTTATAAAAGAATACTTATAAAAGGATTATTCCACAATATTATCACCTTTAAGCAATAATCTCATCCTAGAGTAAGTATGTCTGAGGCAACACTTATTTCCCACATGTTGATAAAGGCTTAGAGATTTACTAGGTGTGGAAGATGTTTATTTCTTTGAAAGTACTGAAAATGACAGGGGAGGTAGAGCACTCCGCTGCTATTAAAATAAATAAGGAATCATAGAAAACGTAAGGTCAACACTTCAAAATTGTGCAGGCATACTTATGGAATTAAACGGATGTTTAGGTATCTACATTAAAAGTGTTGGCTATTCAGCAGTGCTGCATACCATAAATTTCTGAAGGTCATACATAGCACCTCTGTAAAGAAAATTAAAAAATCTGATTTCCTAAATATGGAGTTATCTGTGATTCTTAGTCTTCCATTGCTAATATATCAAAGCTAATTAAACACATAACCCTCCTTCCCCCCAACAAATGGCACCCTCTGTAAAAAACAGTAAAAAAAATGTTTTTCTGGTAAAAATATGCAATAAAGATTTTCTTTGAATGCTTGTTTCATTCTGAATGAGTATAGTATAGAGAAGAAGGTGTATTATTGAGCCAGTAAGATCTTATATTTGGTTATGTATTATGAAGTAAGGAGGTTAGATGGCGAGTAGTTGGTGGACTGATAAATCTGCAGCATTATTTCCATATGTTTCAATTGTCTTAAAGATTGTATGGAGAATATTGAGCAGTCAGTGGCTCCAAAGTAATTGAGGAGGTCGGCATGTTTTTTGGCATCTTTGTCTAGTTTACCACCAGCTAGAAACACCATCTGGTAACAGGGAAGATAAGTAAATAGCACCCCCATGCATGCCATTTTTCTTCAAGCACAAAATCTGTCTCTCTCGCAAAAAAAGTGGGTCTATGGGAATTACAGGAGTCATTTGAAGGTACTTTTTAACAAGGTTCAACTCGTTAGTGATAAAGCATCCATTCTAATTCAGTGACCTCTGAATTGATGGCTTGCAACTACTCTGACTGAGGCAGATAGAAAAATCAGTGAGGAAAGAACTAGACTCTGATTCACAATGTTACTTTGCTTTTTACTAATAGTAGTAACATTTAAAGTATATACTTTAAATAACAATAATGAATACTCATCACAGTCCACATATATTTTACATCATCAGAGGAGAGTATATATCTTTGATTAGGAAAACTGCCACAAAAAACCCACTGTGAATAATATTGGATACACTACTTGAAAATTACTGATTTTACCTCAGTTTCTGAGGTTTTGTCAAATTTTGTACTTCTATTTTTTATATTCCTCTGGTGAAACAATTTTCAGATGATAAAATATATCTGCAGAGACCTATCTCCCTACACAAGTCACTGGTCAAGCATGTATTTGAAGATATGCATCAATTTGGTTCTATTTTTAAAGTATAGATAGTAATATTGGCAATAACCTTCAAAAATCTACACGCCTGCATCAAAGTATCTTCACATGCAATGGAAGAAGACCAAAACTTAGTAAGCTTATCCACCCCCAACCAAGTTGTTTCAGAAAAATCATAATCTTTTTACAGCCTCTTCTGGAGTTCACTAAGTGATGGTTTCAGATACTAGACCTCACTATTAAGCAATAACTTTCTGTAAAAATGTACATCTTCTGGAATATAAGACATAAGCAAGATTTCCCAAGATTTTCTCTTTGCAGTGGCACAGCATGAGCCAGAACAAAAATACTTGTCTTTTGGTAATGGCTTCATATCTGGAGTTTGGCATCATATTTAACAGTCCCACATGATCTTGTTCAGCATGAAGGCAGACTGAGCTGCTTAAAACATAACCTACTTCCCCTTATTTCCAACAGTGTGGACAGGTACTATTACTGAAAAGCAAAACACTGAGCATGGGGATAACAAGTTGCCTTTTTTTGTTCGGTCAAATTATTCCAGATTTAAAAATTCTAACTATTGGTTTCATTCCATGACTTCTAGCTTCTTGCCTCTGACAAGAGCTCAGCTACTTCAGATGAAAGTCAAAGAAGCCCCGTAGTGGATAACTGTGAAATATCTTGTACACAGGACAAGTTTCTTTCTTTTACCAAGAGTTTATGGCTCATGTCTTTTTACTCCATCTTGAAAAGCAAGGATTATACTATAATATCTAAATATCTCATCTTTCATAGAGATAATAATCTCTTTCTCGGTTCCTTCTACAATTATATATTTCTTACCACAGAAGAATAAAACTGGTTACCCAGTGTATATGTTACTGTCAAGTTGTGCATGCACACTGTGCCCCAAAGACAGGCATGTCAGGATACACAGTAAACTACATCTGCAAGCACAGTGCTTTCAGAGTAAAGCAGTATTATACAATTAGGTGAGAAACACAGGCCAGCACTGTCACTTCACCAGATACATACTATAATGTGCAGAACCTAAACCACTTAAATAGCACCCTGTTGTTCAGCAAAGGCAGTTGATTTTTATTAATAATTTCTTTAAAATCTAATTGGGTTCTTGCACCACTATGTGGGCTGATTTCCACAGAAAACATATTTGGGAAATGAAGACCGCTGTTAGTTATACGAAACTAAATACATCCTTACATATTGTCACTGCCTCTCTAGGTTTGGTAATCAAACTGTCTGGATTGGGGTAATTTGTTGCACAATGTCAAACCACAGCCTCCAAGTCCACAAGGGTTCTCTTCCAAGTATATGATGAGTTTAGCACCAGCAAGTCTACTGAAAGAGAACTGTTTTTCTACTCATAGTTAGATTAATTTCTTTTTATGCAATATGACATATGACTTTATTTTCAACGCAAACGATCACAGGATGAGTGTGCTGCCTGCACTGTTTATTCTGCCCAAGTTCCTTAGAACTGTTCAGGACACTTGCCATGTATCCATAAGGTATTATTATTGTACCTAAGAATAGAGACACTTACTGGTCATTTTGAGAGCAAATTTTCAACTGCTTTCCAAGAATGGTAAACAGTAAGGAACAGGATGAGAGTAGAGTAAGGATAAGACATTCCATTTTCTGTAGTATTTTCTAATTGTACCCTGGGTGAACACTACCTACTTTTAGTAAATGCTGTATAGAACTTGCCCAAGAAACCTGTTACCATTAGAGAGATAAAATCATGTCTATAAGAGGTGAGATATTAATGCAATTGTAAAGGTATTTTGATATTCTTATTCCTTACCCCCACCCTCAGGAACTCCCTTTCAAGCTCAATGAATACACACTTGCCTACAGACTGCATTAGAGAATCATGCCTGTTTCTATTTCTATACATTTTATTTATTATAATGAAGATAATTTGAATTGCAATCTGCAACTCCCTGAACATTTTTAAAACAACCAATGTAGTTAATCTAATGCCTATGGCAATCTCTATTTATTCCTTGTGAGCATACACTTGCCATAACTTAAAACTGGGCTGAGCTTTAATTTAAATGTAACAAGGCAGAATACCAGTACAGTGCTTTCAACAAAATGGCTGAAACTGGCTTCAGCATGATTTGCCTGGAAGGGAAGATGAAAATGTGTTTTAAAGGAGAAAAAATATCCTGACCAAAACCAGACATTCTAAACAACCACCACCGATACCCACTCCTCCTTTCCTCCCCCATCTCTATCAGCTGCTAGGCTTTCAGCACTGTTTTTCGCCAGACACTAGCACAGTGTTTTCCTTCATAGTCAGCCATCAGCCAGAGCTGTCACTTGCAGATACTTCATTTTTGTTTCAGTCTAATTCATGCTGCACCCCCTTAATCTCTGTAGTGAGTAATGCATTGTCACTGTGTAGATATGCCAGATCCAGCACTAGAAGTACAGAGAGTGTTTCTAACAGTTAAACTATCTTGGTTTGAAGAAATATTTTATTTCTTCCCCCAACTTAACTGTTCTCTTTCTCCTAAACATTTTCCCAGCTGACCTCCAAAGGAGCAGTCACCATTCTGCGATCTGGCTCAGCTTTCACAGGGTGGGGGGTGAAGACAAGCTGCAGCCCTGTATTATTAAATGCAAATAATCAATATGTTGATTGAGCTTTTGGCTACCAGAGTTCTTTTGATGGGAGTGACAGTGAGCATGACTTCCCTCATTCAATGACAAGTCTGTTTAGACTTTGCTACCTACCACTTTGTGAATCAGGCAACTGAAAATACCCACAGCAATTCCTCCAAACTGTCAGCTATTGCTGTGATTCCACCCAGCACCCCCTGTACAAGACAACAGATTAACCATTAGGCTAGATATGTTGAAAATATACAGCTTCAACCTTTCCCCAGCTAGCTCAGAGCGATGTATAGATGATTATTTCAACCGTCAGCTGCCGCATAGACTTAAACCCCTGCACAATAACTCCTGGATTCATCTGCCCCTTGTCAAACTTACACAGCTTTAGTTTGAGCATACATAGTGTGGCAGTTTCACTGCGGATCTAGAATAATCCAGACGGCTGCTGTCTCTTTGTTAACAGGAAGCTAAACTGATGAGTTTGTAATGCATTTCTTATCAAAGGTAGTTTCAGAAAAGAAAATGTGCCAAATCAGTTGGGGTTGGAGTTTAGCATAGTATTAAAATATGGTTTAATCAGAACATTTGTTATTTGCTAGGAAAAACCCCAAACATTATTCACCCCTTTTAAAAATCACTTTATGCCAATGAACTATTTAGTTTACAAATTTACTTGATTTTTTTGGTGGTAACAGATGTAATGAAATCATTGACTAGAAACTGCAATATAATGGCGCTTGATGAGACACAAGAATGTTAATTTTAGAAACTGC